CATCACGGAACCTAAAAAAGGTTTGGCATTGAGAGGTTCTGACCATGTAGTGAGGATAAGAACCATTAAAGGTTTCGTAAATCTGAAAACCCATTTTTTTGATTCTACACACCTTCAGGAACATTTTCGGAAGGCTCTGTAAAGTACCGATTTTTTTAGAGTGTAGACTCTGAGTGATAAATGACAACAATTCCAAGCTGCTAAGCAAGACACTTTGATTGGCTCTGGACAGATACACACTTTCTGTTTTTGCATGTGTCTCGAAAAATACATCTTTATCTTCTTTCTTGTTTTTAGGAGTCTTCAAATGCAGAGGATATTAACAATCGTTTGCAGATGCGTTCGCAGATGCAGGCCCAAAAGGATCGGCTTAGGAACCAAGTCGAACAGCAGCACATCCTCGAAGAAGCCGTAGAAGAAGTACTGTTAAACAAATTCTCCACTTAACTTCACCCTGAAATCGATTTTGCTGTCTACAGCAGATGGGCTCTAGTCTTAAGGCAATATGTGGCGTCGGACATGAAATATCTTGTACAATCCTGCAGATTCAGACACAGTTTTAGGCCATAATTTCAAAAAGCGACTACTATAAACGTGGCTCACGATTTCAAAAAACGAATAAAATATTTGTTGTTTGAGAACTGATCATAACGCCTATCAATAATTACAATCAATTACTGCATCGTTTATTCGCGATACGCAATACCTTATTAAGAAAACACAAGTACTTCAAGAGAAAGTCGGCGAGCCAGAAACAAGATTATATTCAAATTTTGTGTCCGCCAAACACACAACACATCTGTTTTTCTTTCTTATATAATCAAAAAGACATCATACACCCTATTCACTTGACAAGAGAGTATATGTAGTATTTATACAAGAAAGTGTATTTAGTATTTATACAAGAGAGTGTATTTAGTATATATACAAGAGAGTGTATTTAGTATTTATACAACACATAAAATATCATTACCAAGACATCTACTACAGTATCACATCGTCCATCGAAAATAAACTATTATTTCATCAACAAAATGAAATTCCTATGCGTTTTCTTGATTCTGATGGCTCTTGTTTCAATTTCAGTAAGCCTGATGGGTGATACTCCACATTATCCATGGCGTGGTTGTCAATGTCAACGAGGAGGAGAACGTGGTGGTCATTGCCATTGTCCAGATCATGGAAAGATGGAAAATACCTATTGTCGATATGGAGGAAATCATTGGATTTGTTTTCCATTCAGTCGTCGTCGCTCAATTTCTTCTGAAGGAAGTTATGATAACGATCATGAATGAATACTTTACTAACAATATCCGGTAGCACGAATGATGCTTCCATGATACTTTCTCCCCGGACATTTGCTTCTGCAACACTTACTCCCCACCGACACTTGCTCCCAAAAAATACTCAATAAAACTTTTTCTGAAATACAATAAAAATATATTAATTTATTAATTTAAGATATTGAACTCAATAATACAGTGATTAAGGTCCTATAGATTGCACAAATTATTGAAATATCACGCAGTACGAAGCAATATTAACAACAGAAAAAAACGCTACCACTTGTAGAGAAAAACACATAAATACTTATACAGTGTGGCACATAAATCAATCATTGATTTTGAAAATAAAAGAAAAATGAAAATTATGAATGTTTTAATGAGAAATTTTGAGCTAAGGCCATAACTTTTTCATAGCTTGTTGTTGTTTGTTCATTATGCAAATTCGAAATACGCGTTTCACGACGAATTTGTTCTCGCTTTCTAGCTTGTCTTACACCAGCTTCTGCTTGAATAATTTGAGCATCAACGAATAATTGTTCCTTTTTTTTTAATCCTTTCAAGAATTTTCAAAATTTTGGATGACTGCAGTTCATTAATGATGAAAATCTGTTATTCCAACCTTCTACGACGTTGTTCGTTCTATGTTTACCTTGTAGCGTATTAGTATTAACATTCCATAATGATATATCGAACTTAGGAATTTATCTTGGTCTTGATGACGGAGTTTTAACACCAATATAATTTTCTTCGAAGTACTTTAATACAGATTCGTCTTCTATTGGAAATTGAGCTTTTATTTCATCAAATGTTGGAATAACATCATTAGTTGGTAAAAATGCTAAAGCAGGTAAAGATCGAATTTGATGTCCAGTCTTCATTTTCACTATATAAAGTTTTTAAACCAAATCGTATAACAGCACGATAAACATTTTGACATAGATGGAAACAACATCCATGTAAATTGGATATTGAAAATATATTTCTAATTGCATTGATGCTTATATTTTCAAAGTCAACCATTACATTCAGTGGATCGAAATTCGGTACCAAATTTATAATTTCTTGTAACATAGTTTTGTATAAACGTTGTCTCTTGCCTAAGAGAAATATAGACCCGAAAACGAAAACTTAAAAAAAACATTTAATAAATGGTACTCACCAGACAAAACAACATAAGCTGTTGGCAGGATATGATCTAAATATGCGACATGTATACTGTAGAATTGAAAATATAATTCAGGAATCACACTAAATGTCCCATCTAAATAGATATAATTTGTATTCTCTAATATTTTAAATTTTTTCTTGGCAGAAAAGATTAATAAACGTTGATCAATTGGTCCAGAATCGAATTGTAAAAATGTACGATTACGATTTGTTTCTGTAAATAGTGGATCAATAACAAGTGAATTGCGATTTGCTGGTAATGGTAATGAGTTTTGATGCTTTTGACAAATCTGTTGAACAGTTCTATTAAGATTTTGCAAATTTGGTAATGATGCGACAGCATGATCAGATAATTTGAATATACTATCAGCTACAATATCATGTGTTGTATTAGTAGTTTGTTTAGCTGCGTTATTCATTTTTATACGTACTTCGATTAATGCTCGAGCCGAATGAATTGACTGATGGTTGTGGTCACCTTGTGTTTGTATAACCTGATCGTTCATCGTATGAAGTCGGCCGCGGCATTGACCATGACGATAATTATGACAGCACCGTATTATCTTGTTGGAAGATTCTTTATTAAAAATATACAAGTAACCTTGGTGTTCAAATACTGGTTTTTCTTTAGTAGTTTCCATCGTGTAATAAATAAGTTGATCATTAACACTATCAGAAAATGTTGATGTAATGCCTTGCAAATGAAACGTGACCCGGTGAAATTCAAAAAACAAATATTCTCAAAGAATAATCACGTATTAATATCTTTTACTAGTCAACCATATTTTATTGGATTATCTTTCATCGATATTTAATTAATTAGTGATAGTGAAAATGTATGAGATCAAATAATTAGATTAAATGAAAGCATGATAAATAAAAGAACACAGTCATCCAATTATCTTTATTTAGTTGATGATATACTTGTCTATGTATAGTATTTGTTTATCTCAATTGTTCTGTGATCTTCAAGCACTCTACAGTAGTGGTTTTACTTCAAACTACAATGGCAGTATAGTAATTTTAGCTATAATTTTAAAATCAGTTAGAGAATCTCGTGCTATCTTGAAATGCTACATAAATGTACAATCACATTGTGCTCTTTTTCGTTTCATTCATTTTAAAGTTCGCAATAAACATTTTTAAGTTGTCAACAAAAAAAGATAGCTCAATACGAATGATACTGGAGAGCAAGTGTCGTAGGAGCAACTGTCTGGGAAGCACCATTCATGGATTCACAATATTCTTCATTCATTGTCTTTCTTTCAAAAAATTGTATTTAATCAACATGTGTGCAAAACTTTCGAATTCCAGTTTCATGCAACACAAGAATTCCGTAAAAATGTATAACTTAAGCTATGGTGTTTCAATAAAATTTTTCTCTTTACAGGTTTTTTATTGCCGTAGACATATACTAGGAAATCTTTTCCCCGGTCAGTGGCTTCAACTTGTCAAGATTTTCTTTGCAGAGCAACGCTGACAAGCTTTTTATAGAAAGCTAGTCCTTGCGATATATACATTTTCTGCATATCTAGTGTCTAAGTGTCGTTGGGAACTCTAGAAATTAATGGCATAAAAATTGTTTTTAAAATAAGTAGGAAAATCCCAGTGTTTGAAACACGTTTTTCGAATTTTAGAAGCGCAAAAACTTGAGGTTTTGTTTCTATTTGGAAAATTACCTCCAACATTTTCTGCGTTGCTGCCCGAATGGTACTTTACAAAGCAGTTTTTCGTTGCATGCAGTATCCAGGGTTAAAAAGGTGGCTAATGTTTGCCAGTGGATGAACGCTTTTTTCAAATCCTGAGGGTGTGGGTGTGGGCGGGTGTACATGTGATCCTCTTCAGTGACTCACGCCGAGACCCACACTGTGAACAATGTATAGGGCAGTTCAAATACGACGTTGTAAATTTTGTTTTCTTTAACTGAAACTTCTAAGACATTCTAGTCACCATGAGACCTGTTTACGAACAAAATTTCAGGTCAAAATTCCATTGTTGAGCTTTCCTATAAATATCATAGCCAGAGATCGAAAAGCCAGGAAAACGGTCGTAAACCCGGAAGGACAGCGTATGGGGACAAATCGTTCCGGGCTTCTGCTAGTCTCATCGAGTCTTACTTGTGGGCAAAATATGAGCTCGATCGGCGATTAACACTTGGAGAGGTTCCCTCGTTAGACTATGTTTCAGTCTTTTTTGTGTAATTCCTTCTGAACATCAGGTTGTCGACTTTGACTCGTATTGAAATCATTTACAGAAATGCACTAATAATGGGCTTAAATACTTAAATCAGTGTACAAATACTCTTTGTGAAGGTATAGATGTGAGTGACAAGAAAATCTCTTTATCCATTGCACACTGTGCCAGTCGAATCAGTTAGAAAAATCTCATGAATATCATTGAAAAGAAAGAATATCGCAAAACTTTTGTCACATTTAACAATTCAATTATTTCAGTATGTTTTTATTTTATAAAATAAAAAATAACTATTTCTTTAATATATGTTTATTTAATCAGTATTCAATAATAAACATACACCATTGAGTATCCAATGTGAAAGATCTTTTTTTGAATAAAGACTAGCTTCAAATACTAAACCAACACCCATTGCATTTCGTCGATCACTTGTTACATAAACTGGTGTTCGTAAATAATTATTTATATTAAATCGATGTGTTTCAATAGGTATAATTTTAATTAAGGGCATCATTTGAATAAGTTGTTTATGTGATTGTTCAATTAAACAATGATTTTCTATATCCCATCCAGCACCTTCTAAATACAAACCTTCAATTAAACAAATACCTTGAATAGATGCATCAACATCATCTAAATTGATAATGAACAATATTTTATTTAAAGAAAATTCACTCAAACCTATATTTTGCCATTTTGTAACATTTGTATAGAATGTTACTTTATCTAAAGGCCATTGATTTTTACGTGCAGCTATTTGTAGAATAGCAGCTAAATAAGATTCAGGTACATGTAATCCACTTAAATTAATTATTTTAAGTTCACCTAAATTGATATAAAAAAAAAAATTTAAGAATTTTTGAAAGTTAATAAATAATTATCAACCATTATGTATCCATTTTTCATATTGTTGATTTCTTTGTTGAAAATGTTCAATCCAATTTCCAAGTGATTTTTTTGTTTGTGGTGTATATGATCTCCATAATAATGGTATTTGTCCATGATAAAGATATTTATTTATTTCATCAAGTTGAAATGAAAAACTAATTTGACCATTTAATGCTTGTTTTAATTCATTGATTGATTTCCACATAATTGATGTAAGTAAATTAAATCGTTGAATTTCTTGAAAAAGAACAATTGTTAATGGTGTTAAATTTTGTTTAAATTTTTGTTTTATAATATTGAGATCTTTTTTTGGTGGAATTTGTTGAAGAATATCATCAATTAAGGATAAAACAAATTCTAAATAATTTATATTTTTATAATATTTCAAAGATATAGACAAAACAAAAACAATGTATGATTGTTTTCTATATGAGAGTTTATTTCGAAATAAAAATCTGTGCGTGCTTCTGTTAAATAATGAACACTAATCTTAACAGACATTATCTTACAGGAGAACGTACATCAATGTCACTCGTCAATCCATAAAGAATTGCTTGATAAGCTGTCCTCATCAAGTTATTAATTTCACTGTATATTTTTTTAATCTCTAGTAAGCTATTTGTGAATATTGAAGTATGAAATTTCAATCCAAAAGAATATATTACTCTTGAGACATTGAATCTTGAAAATCTTGAACTTTTCTTCTGACAGATCTTTACTGGTTGAAATGATAGTAGAAATTAGCTTTTTTTATACAAAATCTTGAAAGAATTTGATTAATTCAAAGACCGGATAGAAAATATTTCATGGTGACTATTGGCATAAAATGATCATTGTATTGAAATTACGTTTTGACAATTGTGGAACTGTTACATAGGCGATCTATTATGTTGTGAAAGACTTGTAGTTACTGGAGAAAAAAAGTCAATGAAGCTCATACTTTTTTTAAAACTACATTAATATTAAATGTTCGAAATTTTGGCAAAGATTTATTTAGTAGTAATCTAGTATAACTGTAGTATTCTTTTAGAGTTATGGCTACTTCACTGAATTTATGGTCTATATCATCCATCGAAAGTGTTACCGTGAACGAAGGTTTTCTTTTTGAAATATCACATCCTCAACGAATATACATATGTTAGATAAGATTAATAATAAAAATATTCTATTGTAAATCTGCTATCTCAGAAGGAAAACATTTGTTTTAACTGAAAATTTCAGTATACTCCATGACTCATTAGATTTATTTATGGACAAAATTTTGGGTCGTCATGGTAGCATTGAAATGGTTATAACTCGACAACAAAGCAACAAAGACTCAAATCATTATAGGTTTTGCCTAGTCTCCATAGATTCTACATAATAACACAAATCTCATTTCAAACACTTTTTATCACTTGTCGAGATTCTTTCATGAAGCGATTCTAGCGATTTACTCGAAAATTCTTTGCTACCAGTGCGTCACAGATGCTTGATTGAGTAACCTACTGAAAATTATCTCAGTGCATAGTTACTTGAATAAATCTATAAGATAACTGATCGAGTATTTGGTCAATAGCCAGCCCACTCGATTACAAACCTTGCTACAGATTAGCTCATCAAAATATTGAGAAGCATTTCATTTCATCAAAACCATACAAAATATAATTTAATGATGTTATCAGTCCTGAGAACGTCTTTTATTTTTATATATGAAGAAACAATTTTTCTTACGATCTCTACTTGAACTATCTTCAATTTCATGTTGTTCTGGTTGAATATCAAGCATCATTGAATAAATTTCATAAGCTGTTTTAGTTAAATAATTGATTTCTGCATTTGCATGTAAACCAAGTATATCGGGTGGATTGTAAAGTGGTAATTGATCAATATAAGCTAGATAAAGATCACGAAAAATGGAATAAGGAAAGAATTGATTGAAAAGAACATTTTTAGATAAAAGTTGATAATCAATTCGTTGATATTCAATTTGATTAATGTCAATATTTGATTTTTCTATATTACGTTGAAAAAGATTTGAAACTTTTTCAGGTAAAAATTTTTCGAAATTATATTCAATTTGTGGTTCAATCTAAAATAATTAAATAAAGAAAAAAAGACAATCAAAAAAAAAACAACAAATACAGACGGATATATTTGCTTCTCTTAATAACCATCTTTGTTTTGCTGATAAAAAATCACGTAATTCAGGTATAAAATAATCATATTTCAATGATTTATTAGTATCAATAAAGAAATGAAATGGTTGAAAATAATCAAAAACAAAATCTCCGAAATATTCTTTCATATAAGTATGAATTATACGTCGATCATATGAATCAATTACACGACCACCGTATATAACTACAAACAAAAAATAATTTTATTGAATAGAAAGAAAAAAAACTGTTAGCGCAGTACGTGGAAGTTTAAAATATCAAACACAATATAGCTGCTGTTGCTAATCACAAGGAGACTATTTTTTTATTATATCTTTTGTGGGACACAGTTCTTTGCCATCTTTTTATTTTACGATGAAAAAGAGGGGTTACTACAGAGGTTTGTGATGAACCGTTTCTAA